ACATTCCTTGATCATCAGTGTCTACATCCCCACCACCTATTGTTCTCTCAGCAAAGTCCACATCACCAAACACTCTGGTCTTCACCAGAACTTAGAGAGGTGGAGATGTTACGCTGCAGGTGTCATCAAGGTTGTGGTCCTTTGATCAGCCAAGGAACCACCTACTGGGAAATGAAGGTAAGTATGCTCGATATAGTCCTTAGCAGGGATTTAACGCAGGACTCACCGGTCATTGGGTAACATACTCTAAGCAGGCAGGAGTGCACAGACATAGAGAAGAACTGGGAAAAAGGTGAAGGTGAAGGTGTACAGGATCAAAGGGGGCCACTATAAGTAGGCTGCAACAAAGAGAGCCTAGAATCACTGAGCCAGGAAGAGAACAAGAAGTGCATGGGTGTAGCAACAAGACAACCTACTGGCAGCACGCAGGACCTCCATGCACACTACCTTCTCTCTGACAGCTCTCCTCCCCCACCATCCACACTACATTTTCCGACAGCTCTCCTCCACCATCCACACTACATTCTCTGACAGCTCTCCTCCCCCAACCATCCACACTACATTATCCGACAGCTCTCCTCCCCCACCATCCACACTACATTCTCCGACAGCTCGCCTCCACCATCCACACTACATTCTCTGCCAGCTCTCCTCCCCCACCATCCACACTACATTTTCTGCCAGCTCTCCTCCCCCACCATCCACACTACATTCTCTGACAGCTCTCCCCCCCCCCACCATCCACACTACATTCTCTGACAGCTCTCCTCCCCCCACCATCCACACTACATTTCTCTGACACCTCTTCTCCCACCATCCACACTACATTCTCTGACAGCTCTCCTCCCCCATCCACACTACATTCTCTGACAGCTCACACCACACTACATTCTCTGACAGCTCTCCTCCCCCACCATCCACACTACATTCTCTGACAGCTCTTCTCCCCCACCATCCACACTACATTCTCTGACAGCTCTCCTCCCCCCATCCACACTACATTCTCTGACAGCTCTCCCCCCCACACTACATTCCACACTACATTCTCTGACAGCTCTCCTCCCCCATCCACACTACATTCTCTGACAGCTCTCCTCCCACCATCCACACTACATTCTCTGACAGCTCTCCTCCACCATCATTCTCTGACAGCTACATTCTCTGAAAGCTCTCCTCCACATCCACACTACATTCACTGACACAGCTCTCCTCCCACCATTCACACTACATTCTCTGGCAGTTCTCCTCCCCCACCATCCACACTACATTCTCCAACAGCTCTCCTCCCCCCACCATCCAGACTATATTTTCTGACAGCTCTCCTCCCCCCCAACCATCCACACTACATTCCACATTATCTGACAGCTCTCCTCCCCCACCATCCACACTACATTCTCTGACAGCTCGCCTCCACCATCCACACTACATTCTCTGCCAGCTCTCCTCCCCCACCATCCACACTACATTTTCTGCCAGCTCTCCTCCCCCCCCACCATCCACATTACATTCTCTGACAGCTCTCCTCCCCCACCATCCACACTACATTCTCTGACACCTCTTCCCCCCCCCACCATCCACACTACATTCTCTGACAGCTCTCCTCCCCCATCCACACTACATTCTCTGACAGCTCTCCTCCCACCATCCACACTACATTCTCTGACAGCTCTCCTCCCCCACCATTCACACTACATTCTCTGACAGCTCTCCTCCCCCACCATCCACACTACATTCTCCGACAGCTCTCCCCCCCCCACCATCCACACTACATTCTCTGACAGCTCTCCTCCCCCATCCACACTACCACACTACATTCTCTGACAGCTCTCTGACAGCTCCCCTCCCCCATCCACACTACATTCTCTGACAGCTCTCCTCCCCCATCCACACTACATTCTCTGACAGCTCTCCTCCCCCATCCACACTACATTCTCTGACACCTCTCCTCCCACCATCCACACTACATTCTCTGACAGCTCTCCTCCCCCATCATCCACACTACATTCTCTGACAGCTCTCCTCCACCATCACACTACATTCTCTGAAAGCTCTCCTCCACATCCACACTACATTCTCTGACAGCTCTCCTCCCACATTCATTCACACTACATTCTCTGACAGTTCTCCTCCCACCACCATCCACACTACATTCTGAACAGCTCTCCTCCCCCCACCATCCACACTACATTTTCTGACAGCTCTCCCATCCCCCCTCCCCCACCATCCACACTTTTCTCTGACAGCTCTCCTCCCCCACCATCCACACTACATTCTCTGGCAGCTCTCCTCCCCCACCATCCACACTACATTCTCTGACAGCTTCTCTGACAGCTCTCCTCCCCCATCCACACTAAATTCTCTGACAGCTCTCCTCCCCCATCCACACTACACTCTCTGACAGCTCTCCTCCCCCATCCACATTACATTCTCTGACAGCTTTCTTCCCACCATTCACACTACATTCTCCGACAGCTCTCCTCCCACCATCCACACTACATTCACTGACAGCTCTCCTCCCACCATTATCACTACATTCTCTGACAGCTCTCCTCCACCATCCACATTACATTCTCTGAAAGCTCTCCTCCACCATCCACACTACATTCTCCGACAGCTCTCCTCCCACCATCCACACTACATTTTCTGACAGCTCTCCTCCCCCACCATCCACACTACGTTCTCTGACAGCTCTCCTCCTCCACCGTCCACACTACATTCTCTGACAGCTCTCCTCCTCCACCGTCCACACTACATTCTCTGACAGCTCTCCTCCCACCATCCACACTACATTCTCTGACATCTCTCCTCCCCCACCATCTACACTACATTCTCTGACATCTCTCCTCCCTCCATCCACACTACATTTTCTGACAGCTCTCCTCCACCATCCACACTACATTCTCTGACAGCTCTCCTCCTCCACACTACATTCTCTGACAGCTCTCCTCCCACCATCCACACTACATTCTCTGACAGCTCTCTTCCCTCCACCATCCACACTACATTCTCTGCAGTAACATTTTTTGTGTTGTCTATAAGTGTGACCCAACTGACTACCAGTGGAAGGAACATTCTTTCCAATGAGTAACAATTTAAGGAAGTCCTCCTGTACTGACCCCCCATATAAGAAGCTCCTTCCCTTTTACCAAAGTAACAGTGGGGATTCTGTTTGGATGCCTTTGGTTTAGTACTTTTATTACAGTGATCTTTTCTGCATTCAGTAGGTTACATCCATTTACATGCTTTTCAGCAGAAGGCTAACATAAAAGTCCGGCTGAGCTCCGGTTTTTGTACTTGCATTTCTTTCACCTATGTATTGCTAGCATTGCTTGTTTCTTGCCATGTATTCCTACCTCGGATTACGAACGCCTCGGTTAACGTAATTTTCAGTTTACAAATGAAATTCCATTGAAAATAATGCCTTGATTTACATATTGTTACAAATTTTTTTCGCAATACAAAGTGTATGGAGGTGCCGATTTTTAAATGCAATTGCCGGCTGTTTTTTTTCTTCACTATAGCTCACAGAATTAGCTGTCATTTTCCCCGGAGCTAAAGGAAATTTTGTTTCTTTTATCCCAGGAAAGAAAATAAAAGGAAACATTTTTTTCTTTTATCCGGGGAAATAAACTAAAAGGAAACTTTTGTTTCTTTTATCTATTATTATTATTATGCAGGATTTATGGCGCCAACAGTTTGCGCAGCGCTTTACAATATAACGGGAGACAGTACAATTACAATACATTTCAGTACAGAAGGAATAGGAGGGCCCGGCTCGTGGAGCTTACAATCTATGGACAGGAACTAAAAGAAAACTTTGTTCCTTTTATCTCGGGAAAGAAACTAAAAGGAAATTGTTTCTTTTATCTCGGGAAAGAAACTAAAAGGAAACTTTGTTCCTTATCTAGAGAAAGAAACTAAAAGGAAACTTTGTTCCTTTTATCTAGAGAAAGAAACTAAAAGGAAACTTTGATTATATCGTAAAAGAAACTAAAAGGAAACTTTGTTTCTTTTACCTCTGGAAAGAAACCAAAAGGAAACTTTGTTCCTTTTATCTCGGGAAAGAAACTAAAAGGAAACTTTTGTTTCTTTTATCTATGGACAGAAACTAAAAGGAAACTTTGTTTGTCTCGGAAAAGAAACTAAAAGGAAACTTTGTTTCTTTTATCTATGGAAAGAAACTAAAAGGAAACTTTGTTCCTTTTATTTCGGGAAAGAAACTAAAAGGAAACTTTGTTTCTTTTATCTCGGCAAAGAAACTAAAAGGAAACTTTGTTCCTTTTATTTTGGGAAAGAAACTAAAAGTAAACATTGTTTCTTTTAGCTGGGAGGGAAAGTGACAGCTGATTTTCTGAGCTATAGTGAAGAATATAAAGAGCCAATAATTACATTTAAAATTTGGCACTGACCAATAGTGACAGCGACTTTTTTTTTTTAAACTTTTTTCTGACCTCCGGAACGGATTAATTGGTTTTCAATGCATTCCTATGGGAAACCACATTTCGGTTTGTGAATTTTTCGCAATATGAAATGTCCCGGGGAACGCATTAAATTCGTAAACCGAGGTATACCTGTATTGAAGTCGCTCAGGACTTCATTACTATAATTTAAGCCTTTTGGGTATATAACTATCACCCCACCACCCTAAAAACTGAAATATTTACACTATGCCCCCAATGTACTCTAATGGGCATTGTACACCACTTATCCTATCTGCAACCTTGGACAATCTGAGGCTCGTGGTGTTACAATTGTTCACTGGAGCGCGTATATCTTTGTGTACCGCCGTAATCTTTCATGAGGGGCTACGTTTTTATAATCAAAGTGTACAAAAGTAAAAAAAAAAAAAAAAGGAATGCGGATACCCCAAACTAGGGGGGTAAAAACCGTAGCAGACACATCTCACCATTGGAAACTCCAAGAAATACAAGAAGCCAGAAGAAGACCCGGCCCATCACGCATCTGCTTTGGCCACGATGTGCTTACCCTCCGAAGTCTCATTAGACTTCTTCTTTCTGTAGATTTCCTGCACATTGAAGGGATTGAGGACTCTGTGAAGCGTGTGTTCTCTGATGTGTCGTAAGGGTTTCTTTCTGATTGAAAGATTTCCCGCACTCCATACACGAATAAGGACGCTCACCCGCGTGAGTTATCTGGTGTCTGACAAGGCCTCCTTTTTTAGTGAAGGCTTTCCCGCACTCTGAACAAGAATAAGGGCGCTCGCCTGTGTGAATTCTCTGGTGTATAACAAGGCTGCCTTTAGTAGTAAAAGATTTCCCGCACTCTGAACACGAATGCCCATCTGTGTGTTTTCTCTGGTGGTCTTCTAGGTTGTCTTTCCTAGAGAAAGATCTCCCACACTCTGAGCACAAATAGGGGCGCTCACCCGTGTGAATTTTGTAGTGTCTAAAAAGTACGTTTTTCTCAGTGAAAGATATCCCGCACTCTAAACATGAATAAGGGCGCTCACCCGTGTGAATCTTCTGGTGTTTATCAAGGACTCCTTTATAAGTGAAAGATTTCCCACACTCTGAACATGAATACGGACGCTCACCCGTGTGAATTCGCTGATGTTTAACAAGGTCTCCTTTATGACTGAAAGATTTCCCACACTCTGAGCATGGATAGGGATGATCACCCGTGTGAACTGTCCGATGTTTAACAAGGTCTTCTTTATGAGTAAAAGATTTCTCGCACTCTGAACATGAATAAGGACCCTCACGCGTGTGAATTTTCCGATGTTTATGAAGATCGCCTTTATGAATGAAAGATTTCCCGCACTCTGAACATGAATATGGGCGCTCACCCGTGTGAGTTCTCTGATGCTTAACAAAGTCCCCTTTATGAGTGAAAGATTTCCCACACTCTGCACATGAATATGGGCGCTCACCTGTGTGAATTCTTTGATGTACAACAAGGTCTCCTTTATGAGAGAAACATTTCCCACACTCTGAACATGAATAAGGACGCTCACCAGTGTGAAATCTCTGATGTCTAACAAGATTATCTTTCTTAAAGAAGGATTTTCCGCACTCTGAACATGAATAGGGACGCTCACCTGTGTGAATTTTCTGGTGTTTAAGAAGATTATCTTTCTTAAAGAAAGATTTCCCGCACTCTGAACAGGAATAGTTTCGCTCACCCGTGTAATTTCTCTGGTGTTCTTGTAGGTTCTGTTTATTAGAGAAAGATTTCCCACACTCTGAACAAGAATATGGACGCTCCCCTGTGTGAATTCTCTGGTGTTTTGCAAGGTTTCCTTTCTGAGTGAAAGTTTTCCCACACTCTGTACACGAATAAGGACGCTCACCCGTGTGGATTCTCTGATGTTGCAAAAGGTTTCCTTTCTGAGCAAAAGATTTCCCACACTCTGTGCATGAATGCTCACCCGTATGGACTTTCTGGTGTGCAACAAGGCTTCCTTTTACAGTGAAAGATTTCCCACACTCTGAACATGAATACGGACGCTCACCCGTGTGAATTCTCTGATGTTGGACAAGGTATTCTTTATGAGTGAAACATTTCCCACACTCTGAACATGATATTAGATTGTCCCCTTGGTGAGCTCCTTCATGGGGTGAGGAAGATTCCTTGGGATTAGATGAATCTGTTGATCTCTCTGCAGTGTGAGATCCTAAATGGACATTTGCACTCCTAGTATGTGATTGGTCAGAAGATTCCCCCTGATCAGAGGGATCCATTGATGTCTCCGGACAGGAAGGTCTGTGATGGATATTGGGTGTATTTGGATTCACTCCTAGAGAATCCTGTGTGATGGCATTATCTTCTAAATTCCAATCAGCAAATAGAAGATGCTTCTCTGATGTATTCCAGGCATAACATCCATCTGTTGGAAAGAAAAAAAGTAGTTCACAAATAATTCGAGTTTTAGCTTCACCTCCCCAACAGTGGAATAAGCAGAAATGCCGATCTCAGTTTCTCCCTTCAAAATCGAACAGAAAAATGTTCACGCTGAGTCCATGTAAGATGAATTCTTCAATATTGAACAGCTATGACTAAGGCTTCATTGGCCAAATGGCGGTAGTGGTTAGCTGGTGTATTGGATTGACTGGATTTGCTTGGATCTTTAATAGTAAAGAATTTGCAGATCACATATGGACTTCAATGTAAAAATACTGAGGAATGGAGATGGACCTTCCATATGGTGTCCAGTATCTCCTCCTCATTTGTTGGGAACGTGACGTTATATTGAGGAATGGAGATGGACCTTCCATATGGTGTCCAGTATCTCCTCCTCATTTGTTGGGAACATGACGTTATATTGAGGAATGGAGATGGACCTTCCATATGGTGTCCAGTATCTCCTCCTCATTTGTTGGGAACATGACGTTCTATTGAGGAATGGAGATGGACCTTTCATATGGTGTCCAGTATCTCCTCCTCATTTGTTGGGAACATGATGTTATATTGAGGAATGGAGATGGACCTTTCATATGGTGTCCAGTATCTCCTCCTCATTTGTTGGGAACATGACGTTATATTGAGGAATGGAGATGGACCTTTCATATGGTGTACAGTATCTCCTCCTTATTTGTTGGGAACATGACGTTATATTGAGGAATGGAGATGGACCTTCCATATGGTGTCCAGTATCTCCTCCTCATTTGTTGGGAACGTGACGTTATATTGAGGAATGGAGATGGACCTTTCATATGGTATCCAGTATCTCCTCCTCATTTGTTGGGAACATGACGTTATATTGAGGAATGGAGATGGACCTTTCATATGATGTACAGCATCTCCTCCTCATTTATCACATATCCTTCACCATATCCAATCCAAAAGCAAAGAGGAGAACCACAACACATACCTCAAGAAGCCTCGCACACGTGGTTCCATAGGAGAGTTTTGTTCTGCAGTAGGTCCAAAGTTAGGGGTCCAGCCTCTCATACACTAACAGACCAAGAGGTCCAGGCTCCTCCTGCATATATCTCTTCAGAAGCAGGAAGTGACACGTGTGGGGGAAGGTACATCACAGCACCAAGTGTTAACCCTTGAAACACCACACATTAACCCTTTATTTGGTAAACAAATATTTAACCTTTTAGCACCTGCCTGCAGGAGGATGTGAAGATCTGAGGATTATCGATCATTTGTCCTTAAGCTACAAACCTACTCACAAGTAAATTGAGATTGTGACTGTTTCTTCCACAGTGCCTGTACTTACTTGTGTTGATAAGTAGAGACATTTCTTTCTGTTCACTCTTCATCACCATCCCAACTTCCTCTGTGGACGGCTGACCCCCCCCCACATACGTCTCCTCTTCTTCCTCTTTAACCTCAGATTTTATATTAATGCGTTCTTCACCCTAGACCCCAAAATAATAGAAAACGTCTAACAAGGTCAGCTCATGGCGTATAAGACACAAATAACAGCAGTTCTGAATTCCTGAAAACATAACTAAATGTGTTTTTTGAATAAATGAAAGTGTGAGTACCTGAATGGGACCTGGTATCAGGCTCTTGCAGTATCTGTACATAAGAGCACAGACTGGGAGAGGGAGAGGGAGAAGCAGAACAAGCAGCAGCTAACAAGGAACATGCTGATAGGACGAGAGAGCAGAGATGAGCTCATCAGTCTTCTGCTTCTCCTTTCACTGTCCAGTAACAGGCTGGGGGAGGGACAAGACCGGCAGGTGTTAATGACCTGAAGCAGAGATAAATCCGGTCTACTGCCCATTTCCTGTGAGCCTAGGAAGCCAGAGGCTCATTCCCTATTGGCATTTATTTAGTTGGTCTGGACTAAGAGGAGCATAGAAAAGCACCATGTCATTCAGCGCACCCCCATGTTGGAGTTACATAAAGAGGAAGAGCCCATATGGAAGAAAAATATATTTAAAATATATTTTAAAAATACTCTTCCCAAATATATTGACATATATTTTAAAAGAAATGCTACAATTTTGGCCATATTCAATATATATGTGTGTGTGTGTGTGTGTGTGTATGTATATGTATATACACACACACTGTATGTTGAAATGCGTTTTTATTACAAAAGATATGAAAAATATTTTTAAAAATACATTTCAAATATACTGAATGTCTTTAAAAATACAAATCTGCATTTTTGGAATGGATTTACAAATATATGTAAAAATATATATAGTTAAAATGACTTTTTTATATGTTAAAAAAAATCTGAAGAATATATTTAAAAAATATATTTTTTTTTTAATATATTCTTCAGATTTTTTTTAAAGAAAGTCATTTTAACATATATTTTTACATATATTTGTAAATGCATTCCAAAAATGTAGATTGGTATATTTAAAGACATACTGTACAGTATATTTGAAATGTATTTCAAAAAATATTTTTCATATCTTTTGTAATTGAAACACATTTCAACATACAGTATATATATATTTATTGAACTATATTTTGAAATATATAGAATATGGTCAAAATTGTAGCATTTCAAATATAAGTCAATATATTTGGGAAGAGTATTTTTAAAATATATTTCAAATATATTTGTTTGAGTCCATGTATGATCTGCAAATTCTTCAGTATTGAACAGCTATGACTAAGGCTTAATTGGCCAAACTGCGTTAGTGGTTAGCTGGTGTATTGGATTGCCTGGAATTTCTTGGATCTTTAATAATAAAGAATTTGCAGATCACAAATGGACTCCAATGTAAAAATACAGAGGAATGGAGATGGACCTTTCATATGGTGTCCAGTATCTCCTCTTCATTTGTTGGGAACATGACGGTATATTGAGGAATAGAGATGGACCTTTCATATGGTGTCCAGTAGCTCCTCTTCATTTATTGGGAACATGACGTTATATTGAGGAATGGAGATGGACCTTTCATATGGTGTTCAGTATCTCCTCCTCATTTCTTGGGGACATGACGTTATATTGAGGAATTGAGGAATGGGAGGACCCATGATGACTGAACTTAACACCTACAGAAGAATGGGACATATACTGCTTGAAAAAAACCCAATAAAAATGGGGGGTGAAAAATGTAGGGTGCTCAAAAGAGCTGGAAATTGAGATGGGGGGTTTGGGGAGTAAAGGCAGCACTCTCAGATGGAGAAGTAAGCAATAAAAAAAAAAGACTACATAAAAAAATGTCATCTCATAGCTTAGAAAAAGTCTATAAGCCCTGTCCCACCTACCTGATGATGGTGAGGGATGGTGTGATCTTCCTGTGTAGAATCCCGGGAATACAAAGGACCACTCTCCTCATTAGACTGCTGATCTCCGAACATCTCTTCTTTTTCCACTTTAACCTCAACTTTGATGTCTTTCAGTTCTTCACCCTAAAGTGCATATGTGATAGAATGGATTTGTAAATGGAAACGAGATGACAGAAGAATATCATCTCAAAGGATAGAATTCTATTCGAGTTCCAGTTGCTTAGTGCCATCTACCTGATCATGGTGTGCATAGTTTTGATCTTTGCATGTGGAATCCCCGGAATACAGAGGATAGGGAGGTGGGTTTCTGTTCTTAGGCGACTCCATCATAATGACCTTGTAGAGGTCTTTGTGTCTTTCAGAAAGCTCCTCCATCACACCATACTTCTCATCCTCCTCTTTAAACTCTTCTTTAATGAAAATATTATCATCCCGGAGGTTTCCACTCTGAGAATATAATAAAACATTAATTGTAACAAACATGCTGTATAGAAATCATAATTAGTAATAATTGCTAATCACCTACCTGATGGTAGTGAGGGATGGTGTGATCCTCCTGTGTGGAATCCCGAGAATACAGAGGACGGGGACATCTCTCTGGTGGGTTCTCATGACTGGATCCATCTACCTGATGATGGTGAGGGATGGTGTGACCTTCCTGTGTGGAATCCAGGGAATACAGAGGACGGGAACATCTCTCTGGTGGGTTCCCATGACTGGATCCATCTGTAGGAAACACACACACTGACTGAATCCATTGTTTCTATGTGTTTATCAGATGATGGGGGATCTAGGAGGACCCTCCATACTGCTCTCTCCCTTTACAATAAAGTCTCCTCTTACCCGGTGATGTTAGGGGCGACTGATTGTCCATCATGACGTCCTTGTAGAGGTCCTTGTGTCCTTCTAAATACTCCCACTCCTCCATGGAGAAATAGACAGTGACATCCTGACACCTTATAGGAACCTGACACACACAATGATACAGTCACCATCCAGACACATCCCTTGTCTTTTACTGGAGAATGTCCCAGAATTCCCAGCACCGCTCACCTCTCCTGTCAGCAGATCAATGATCTTCCGTGTGACTTCTAGAATCTTCTTGCCAATGTTTCTCTTGAATTTCAGGATATGTGATGGATGCACTCTAATGGTTATATGGCCACCAAGCTTCACTGGAGGAACAATCTGCATCGAAAGAGCAATAAAATTGTCAAGTGACCTCCTA